GCTGATAACTCGAGTACCTCAGAAGCTAAAGGACTGTAATTTTAAGAGGATATACCCCGTCCACCTCAGTTTCATTCAGCTCAAACCTAACTCTCGGGTATGCGTGTTAAACTCGCACGAGCCCATGAGAATTTCCAATAAGTTACTGATTCTGGAGCCAGGGAAGCTGGAAAGCTGAAATTTCAAGGGGGTGTTTTCAGACAGTTCTGGCGGCCAGTCTTAATTTATTTAGCTATGAGCATTTGCCGAAAAAGCCGGTGCCGGTAGCAACAAAAACTGAGGGGAACTATGCAAAAAACGCATTTTCGCACGGGCAGCGCGTGCGCTGGCCAATTATTAATTAGTGATATTAGGAGGAAAAGGTGAAATTTCTTTTTTCAGCTCCTACATAATCTCAGACTCCTATCGGATCAGTTATATCGTCAGGATGGTGCTACCGAGCTACGGATTCAGTGATATATGATTGCACTGTTCGTTCTAAGATTCTAAAATTCCGGACCCTAATGCAGCATGTCACAAATGCTACCCTTTTCAACACAGCTTACTCAAAATCTTCCTCATTTCATTCTTTGTAACTGATGGAGGCATTCGGAAGTAGCCGAAATGGTAGCACGTTCCAGCAGCAGCTGAAGACACCTCTTTCGAAAGTTATCAAGAATGTAAACAATAGTAACAATGATTAAAAAATCAGACAAAGACTATCGGTATCAGTGCTTGTAACGAAGTAAAATTAAGCACTGCCAGCATACAGTCATTCGTTGTTTAGGACCTGTGTTGATGACAAAGAATCCGTCAATAGTCGCAGGCGATGCCCGAGTGTTTCAAGCAGTAGATATACGCGAATTACGGCATCTTGTTGATGTAGTTGTCTTCCCACAACACGGACCACGGCCGCATCCTGATGAAATGGCTGGTAAGACTTCTTTTTTTTTTTCTATTTCATTCCATATTTCGCATTATACGTTGTATTTTTACACTTCATGCTCTGCCGTATAGCCTTAGCGTACTGTCAACTGCTTCTCAGGTTCTGGTGCCTAATCTGATCGGATAAAATGCGGCACATTGTCTTCTCTGCATGCTTGGAACTGCTGGATACAATGCCTATGTTATGCTGTCTAGTTCATTGCCTGGTGGCATACCTCTTCCGATTTCCCCCAAGTATACATTTTTTCAATGAACCGGCGCGGAAAAACGATCGGACTTCATGCAAAAAACTAATAGTCACTCGCCTTGGAAGTCCACTCGGCCTCACAATGCAACACCTTCATCCCAGCCGACACCCAATATCCTAGATGGAACTTTTTTGCGAGTTTTTTTATATCGTGTATGATTCTTAAATTCTATTATAGGATCCGATTTGGATGGTGATGAATATAGCGTTATTTGGGATGAGCAGCTGCTGCTTGATCACAACGAACAAGCAATGGAATTTGGTAAACGCTTACACACTCCGGCTGCTTTGAGTCAGGAAGAAGTGGTGAGTTTCTATGAAAAAAAAAAGGTTTTTTTTTAATATTCACAAAAGTTTTTCGATAAATGTTTGTAGATTACGAGGAAAGTTGTCCATACATTGCGCATTCGGGTAATTCGATTATCAATTTTTTTTGTCGTTCAATGACTTCGTCTGGAAGTCGCTTCAGCAATGTTAAAGGTCGCGTGAGTGAGCGGGATTGACCGCAGAGCTTAGGTGAAATTACCATGAAGTTATGTCGGAATTTCAGGAAGTGTCAAAATAGCGTCATAAATCATCATAACTCAGCATATGAAGAAGTATTTTACAAAAAAAAATGAGATATTTTATAATGGGGCAGTGTTGCAGGAACGGGAAATGCGACGCTTCTATACGGAATATATAAAGCAGGATTCGATTGGTGCAATAGCAAATGCATTTCTGGTGAACTCCGATTTCTATGGTATAAATAGCGATGTAAGTTTATCTTACCCTTTTATCATTCATGACATTCACAGTGTGCAGCAGCGCTAACGGTATTTCATCAGCATTTGAGAGAAAAGGCAGAAAAGAGCAGGATTCCGCGTATGGAACGGTAAAATAGAGGGAGTGAGCTTAAGTGTCATGTATAAGAAGACATTTTACAATGCAGTCTCTGTATTTCATCCCTTAGCTGTGCACTCTGTTCATTCGTCCCGTTGGTAAATTGGTAGGAATTTGATATTAATTAGGGCGCGCTAGGAAGTCATACCCATCGACAGCTTGTCAAACATCAGCAGCTCCATCAAGAAAGAAATACTGCCACTCTTACCAGTTTCTAGTGAGTGCTTATTGATCGTATCATCACTGGGACAGTTTCCGAGTGCTTCCATTTTCCATGGATATGCACACTACTAAGCTCAGAAAGAGCGGAATTGGGTTTTCCTCTGAGCATCGGTACCTCACTGCTTATCTTTCCGTGGACTAATTCTGCCGCAGTTTTGTAATTTTGCTGTTTTAGGTATGCCTGCGGATAGCCGAGAAGCATTCACAGTCGGTAGATTTTCCAAAAACTGGACAGCCACCGGAGCCGCTTGTAAAAGAGTGGACCAAACAAGTGGATGGAACGCTTGTACCGCCTGAAAAACCCGAACGATGGCCCGATTTCATGCACAAAACCCATGAGCCTTCTTATGTTTCTCCTCGCCTAGTTGGACAACTTTACAGGTATTGCTCTTTGTTTTTATGTTAATTTTACATGTCTTCTGCAAGATTTCAATCCGGCACCCATTACAGTGAACTAGGCAGCATCGAAGCTTGGCTGGGACACAAACCTAACAACTCCATTGGGGACACTATGTTTCATTTTTGCCTTGCAAATCATGGGCTGTATGAATTAAAGTTAGCTTTTTTGATCAATAAATGGTAATGCAGCTGTGTGCAAAACACAAAGCGCAGTGAGTCTTTTTATAACTTTTCTTTTTTTTTTCCCCTTGTCCATTCCTCTTTAATTTTTTGCTTATTGGTGTACTTTCTATCCAGTACTTTTTGGGTTTTTGGTCCAGTGCTTCTCTTATCCGGATTTTCGTGCCAGAATGAACGTAGTCACGTCGTGACATGAACTGTGCAAAGTAAAATTTTAAAGGGATACTTGGATCAGCTCAGGTTCATAGACCGGTTTTTCAAATATGTAGTAATTTTCCCATTTGCTTCGCCCATGGTGTTTCAGATGGCTAGTCTGCTAATGGTCCTGTTGTCCTGGGGAAAAATAAAATTTTAAATTTGATAAATTTTTTACCTTACCAGCTAATTTCAGGCGCATTCGTTTAATCCAGGATGTGTTGGCAGTGACAAGTGCGAATGAGGAGCTCACACAAATCAAACTGGATCCGCTGCTAGTGTACGAGGGTTGGGAAGAATATGAATTCGAAGCGAGGCGCAATCTCGATGCTTATAATGCTCATATAAGGGTAGGTGGTGGTGTTCTTGTCCTTCACGATCACAATTCTAAGGGGAATCATCCGGATATAGGGATTTTTTGTTGATGATTTTACTGAGATGCTCCCTTACGTCGGCTGCAGCTATTTCAAGCCTTCGATTCTGAACTGCGCATCTGTTGGTGATATTAAACTTTGTACGTAGTATGTTCATTATCTCTTTGGTAGAAATATCCGTAGGACGGTCCAGGGCAGTTTCTTGGCGGAGGAAGAGGAAGGGCGAAAAACCCCCCTGAATCCACCAATGGAATTATCCAAACCTGTACGTTCTAGTTTCACCATCTGTTCGATGAGCTCCCAAGTGGTCGTTTATTCCTTTGCAAGTACCATTCATTAGTGCACATGAACGATTTTTAGCAACGTAAACAACAGATAAAAGTGCCATAGACCGGCACTGATTCGAGAAGCTTCGCATTGCCATATCGGGCGAATTACAGCCTTTCATACATTCTAATTGCGATTTTAATTTCCAGGCACTGCTCGATAATTATGGGATTCAGGATGAGGGACAGTTGTTCTCTGGTTGCATCAGTTCCATTCGCAATCGAATCAGTGATCGTGACATGGATGATATGTCATTTTTCAACACCAATTTTATGATTGAACAAAAAGTCACCAACATATTTATGACGTTAGTTTTGATCGTTTGCAGAAATTTTAGCTTGCCTGTGATCCATGAACTGTGACTGACCGCAGTCTTTGTATTTTCAGTTTTCGTGAGAACTTTTTCACCGAGTTTGGTGGTTTTTCCACGTGCACACAGCAGGATGAAGAGGGTGGTGCCTACAGAAATTTGTATGAAAGGCGCTACTGTCCATCACCAACAGTGGAAATGAAAAGGAAAGCTTCCGCTTATTACATCACTTGCTACCGTAAGTCATTGCTTTCTAAACATCAATTTTTTGAACTGATTCTTTTAGTAAAATCGGTGACCTCCATTACTGATGGCACACCTAAAAAATTTTATAAAATTTCGAGACTTCCTTTTGTCTATCGCGGTCGTCTTT